TACTTCTAAGACCAGAAATACCTGAGAAAGTACCCTCCAAACTACATGAAAGAAAACAAGTACAATGTCAGTACTACAATCGTGGGGTGAAAGAACTACCTAGTTTGAAGGAAGGAGAAATAGTACGTATGAGGCCAAAGGCGCATGATCGGTCTGGCCAATGGGTGAAAGCTCGTGTAGAACAACAAGTCGATGTAAGATCATATGACATTAGAACAGAAAATGGAAGAGTCTACAGACGCAATAGAAGACATCTCAGAAATTCAAGAGAACCATTTAATTCTAACCAAACAGAATACAAAGTCAAGTAGACTTTACAATTACCTGACATATTATTTCAAGTAAGGTTGACCTCTCATATGTTCTATAACAATGTGTTGTTCACGTCTGATATGTACAATGTCAAGGTTATCTTCACATCTGACATGATGGTGACATGTCAATGTGATATTGACCGTTAAAATGTATTATGATATAGATAGATATAGATCTCTGACATACACAATGTCAACGTAATGTTCACCGCTAACAATTAGAATCTTTATTCATAATATTCCAAGGATATAAACCAAAATTATTACACTTTCAGAAAACGGTGATCATAATGACAAGAAACTACAATTTACCAAACATGGGTACATGGATACATTTTGACAATGTTAAGATTAAACCACAAAAGATAAACGCAGCAAGACCTTTGAAGGATCGGAGTTAACCATAGTTGATTACATGTTGGTTTGGTAGGAGGATCACGCTACCTAACCAGTATATGCCTCATTCAAACTACGGGCAAACTAATACAAATCTCGACTAGACCATCGCACCATGGAACAATCGCGGCTTACTCGAATCCATTTATAAAGAGAAATGGACTAAGCACGCAACCTTGACGTACTTAAAGGGGCACCTTCCAGTTAAGATTAATTTTACAACAAATTTACTTTCTGGATTAAAATAACAATGGATAACAAAAGATAGATTAACATTGTAAACAACATAAACAATAGTGTCCCATGATTCTTTGGTGCAATCCAAGGGATTGAGCGGTTCCCCTTTAAGTATTACGTTCAAAAATGGTCAATACAATGAGCTTTACAAGCACGTACACGATATGACATGTTGACACATTTACTGAACCAAAGCCTCTGATGTTCAACTGTGACAAGTGCTTCCGTGAAATCAACACAACAGAATTCATTCAAGATACTATACACCGTAGAATAACTACAAGGAACAAGGAACCCTTCATGTGCATGTGTTTCGTCGATCTTACCAAGAGCCAAGACATATTTTCTGCATTTATTTTAAAGTTTAATGAAAAATTCCAATAATTTCATTGCAGCTCCTAATCACTTATTAGTGAGCCCCTGTTGTAAAAGGGTAGCAACAAATAAATAAGAAAAATAATAAGGCAATAAAACAAGATGTAGTTTGTAGGTTCGTTTTTATGTAGTTGAATAATGTTTGTTCAATCACAATGTGCGTCATTTGGGATTTCTTGTATTTGAACTTTAGTAGTATTACTCATTGCACATTTTAAGAAGCTATCTACAAACTACTTTTGAAAATACTTTAAATCACCAGCCGAGTTATATTTCCTTCTCGTTGATGTTGAGAGGATGGAAGATTTTTATACATCTCAGAGTAACGAGATGAAATGCAAGTACTACAAAACAAAATATCTAGTATGTATAATGTTAGCCAAATATATTCCCCAAAATTCTTAAAAAAACACGAGAGGGCTACATGTAATGGTGCTAACACCACCTTGCAAATCTGTCTTTTTTGGCTTCATCTTTGGCGAAGTGCTAGAAAGGGATACATTTATAATAATAATTTTCTGCTCAGGTTTCAACGAATGTACAATCATCAATGTTCCCAAAACTCTTTATAAAGTGACTGCAGTTTGCATTTCAAACTATAGCTATTCCAAAGATACAAAAGTTATAAGGTCTGGACTACGGCCACCTCCATATGAAGAAGTATTTGTCTTTACCTTGATATTTAAATGCCTCTGACATTTGTTCTGTGAGATTTCTTTTATTGTTTTTGAAGTATCTCTGCATCATTAACTGGTAATCTTTGGTAATTCTCTGCTGTGTACAATGTGTCAATGTAGTGTTGACCTCTGCTGTGTACAATATGTCAATGTAGTGTTGACCTCTGCTGTGTACAATGTGTCAATGTAGTATTGACCTCTGCTGTGTACAATGTGTCAATGTAGTGTTGAAGTGCCGTGTAGGATATTTCAATGTAGTGTTGACCTCTGTTGTACAAGCTAGATGTCAATGTAGTGTTGAACTCTGCTGTGTACAATGTCAATGTGATGTGGACATCTGCTGTGTACAATGTCAATATGGTGTTGACTTGCTGCATAGGATATGTCAATGTAGTGTTGACCTCTGCCCTGTATGATAGGTCAATATGGTGTTGACCTCTGCTGAGTACAATGTCAATGTGATGTGGACCTCTGTCGTGTAAGATATCAATGTGACGTTGACCTTTGCTGTGTACAATGTCAATATGGTGTTGACCTGC